TTCTAAATATTTTACATAAATCCTAGTAATAACTAATATTATTTTATTTATAATTTATATTTATTAGGTTTTATTATGTCATATTTTTTTATCTTATTATTCTTATTTATCATATATCAAATTTTATCTTAATAAAATAATTGTATTTTAAAAGATTAAAGAAAATTGATAATTTAAACTTTTATTATTTTAAACTAATTAAATAAGAATTAACTTATTAAATATTTTCTTATAAACTATATATTTCATATTTTTAGATGACAACTTAAAAATAAATTAACTTATATATATAATTAAATGTTTGAATACAGTATTATAATAATAATGTTATAAGTATTCAAATATTTGAATAATAATAATAATGTTATAAATATTCTCTCTATATATATATAAATAAAAAATAATTAAATTTTTTTTTACATACATATTTTAATATAAATATAATAAATTAAAATGTATATTTAATTAATAATAATTATAAATTATAAAATTATAAATATTTATTTATATATAAAAAATACATAATAAAATTAATTTATTATAAATGTAATTATCTTTTTAAAAATAATATAGATCGGGGACGGGGCGGGCGGGGCGGGAACCCGAAACCCAGCGGGACGGGGATGGGGACTTAATTTTTAACCCGGTGGGGATCGGGGCGGGGACGGGGATGGTTAAAAAGTCGGAGTCGGGGATCGGGAGGCAAAACCCGCCCCCGCCCTGCCCCGTTGCCATGCCTACTTCAAGCCCACACTAGGTTCCAAAAGCCCATTTTTCCTCCAACAAACAGTTCTCTGACCGTCACAACTCTCAACTTTTGTTTTGAAAATGTTGTTCAATTTGCAGAGAGCCTTAGAGAACCTTAAGTAGACAGATTAGGGTTTGGGAATTGGGAATTGGGAATTTTTGAAACCTAGTGAATTGGGAATAGGGTTTTCAAAACTTGGTCCAATTTTGAAATTCAAAACACATATCTGACTGAAATAATTGATTATTTTGAGTGTTAATCGATTATTACATAGTCAAATTCACCTGGAATGCAAATCCACGCAGTTTAATCAATTATTTAAGCAGTTAATCGATTAACAGCCCTGTTAATCGATTAACAGGGGCTTTAATCGATTATTCCAGAGAGCTGATACAGAAAATGGTTTTTCTCTCTGTAATAATCGATTATCCTGCCATTTAATTGATTAATCCAGTATGTTTTTGATAAAAATAAGTTTTTGAAGCTTTTAAAGAGTAGACTATGTGCTGGCTATCTTAGACTCTAATATTACAGACTCAAAATCATCAAAACAGAATTATTACATAACATTACAAGTCTTCAAATCTTTAAGTCCTTTGTTCCTAAATCATCATCAAAATCTACAGGCTTCATATCCATGTATGTTCAACATTCATATCCTTGTATGTTTCAACAAGAGTGCCCTCCTTTTATAGGGATTCGCGCCTGTCAGGTCGAGATCGTCGTCTCGCCTGGCAAGGTCGAGAAAAAGAAGAAGGCAGTGGTTTTAGAAAAAACCAACTTTGGCCATTACAACCAGAGTCGGGTAAGAGAGTTAGTTACGTGTGGGGAATATGTTAGCACCCCACAACGCCCCTTTCGGGTTCCCTATGATGGACTAACTTAAAAAATAAACACTTAAAGAAATTACGCTTTTACCCTATTATTCTATCTACTTGCAGAATTTAAATGTCTACATGGCCCTATTATCTAATGCACACAAAGAAAGTGATAAAGAAAGCAGTAAAAGAGACAGAGAATAGAGAAGGAACCTCTGAAGCAAGCTTTTATATTAACTCTTCGAAACTTGAGGACGCTTTTTGGCAGTCCCCGCACTCTACAAGCACGCTCCTCCCGCAAAATAAAGAAAAGTCACTCTACCGAGGGTCGGACGTCTCAAAAGGAGACTTCCTTAACCGATTTCAACTTTAACAGAAATCAGAAAGCTCACTCGAACCCTGGAATAATGCTCGGAGTCACTCTAAAGTGTCAAAAGGCTTCCTAGAGAGTGGTAGGAGTGAAAAGGTGTGAAAAATCGGAGATTGCCAAAAAGCACCCTCTTTCAAAGAATTTACTATAAAGACTTGCTTCGAAGGTTCCTATATACTCCCTTCTCTACTTTACTGCTTTTTAGATAGTATTATTGTGCATTAATCATTTAGGGTCATGTAGTCAATAATTTAATCTCTGCAATAAATAAATAAGGGTAGAAGCGCAATTCATAATTATTATTTCTTTATATAAACAATCCATTATAGGGAACCCGAAAGGGGCGTCGTAGGGAAGCTAATATCTTCCCTACACGTAACTAACTCCCTTACCCGACTCTGGTTGTAATGACCAAAGTGGGTTTTTCTTAAGAAACCACTGCCTTCTTTTTTCTTCCTTTTCCAATGTTTCTGGTAAAAACATTGGTAGCGACTCCTCGAACCTTTCGAAAACCTCGTCTTTAGGTTCAGCTCGGTTATCAGACAACCTAAAGGCATTGTACCATACTTTTAAAAATGCGAGTCGAACGAAACCATCGTGTCTTTCCGACTGCCTCTTTTTACGGTTGCGACACTCCTCCACCTACCAACCGATCCCTTGGCGTATTAAGCCAATAGTCGGTTAGTCAGGTGAAGGGGGGCAGCTGTAGACCCCAAATCTTTCCCGGCCTCACAATAAAGACCAGAAATCCTCCTTTCGAAGATGGACAAGGCTTCAATAGGCCCCTAGGCATGTTCACTAGGCTCCATGTAAGGATAGGAGGGTTTTCTATACAAAAAATAAGCAAAATAGGAAAATTCTGACAGGAAGCCCTAGACGGCCGTCTCGGTTTCCCAGACAGTCGTCTCACTTTTTCCTTAAGGCGAGACGGTCGTCTCATTTTCCCAGACGGTTGTCTCACTTTTCCATTGAGGTGAGACGACCATCTCGAAATCCTAGACGGTCGTCTCACCTATTAGAAGCCCAAACGACCGTCCCGATCTGCCTGGCGCAAATTCCTATAAATAAGGACCTCCCTCCCTCATTTCCACACACTTTTCACTCTCCTATGCTGTGAGAACCTTGTTCTGGAATTTCTAAGCAGCTCTGAGTAATTTTGTAGAGTAAGAGTGATCTTTCTGGCATTAGAGGAGTTTAGCCTATTATTTTTTCGAGGGAGGAGTGCCTTTTGTAGAGTGCTGGACTGCCAAAAAACGTCCTTTATTTCAAGATCTATTAAAACTCGCTTCGGAGGTTTTTTTTATATCTTTTCTCTTTTATTGCTTTCTTTTATTGCTTTCTTTTACTGCTTTCCTTGTATGCATTAGTTATTAGGGTCATATAAATAGTTATTTAAATTCTGCAATCAATAAATAAGGTAGAAACATAATTTTATTGTCTTTATTTTAAGAACAGTTCATTATAAGGAACCCAAAAGGGGCGTTGTGGGGGTGTTAATATCTTTCCTACACGTAACTAACTTCTTTACTCAATTCTGGTTATAATGGTCAAAGTTGGTTTTTCTTAAATCAACGCCTTCTTTTTTTCTTTTCCAATATTTACAGTAAAAATATTGGTGGCGACTCTAGAACCCATTTATGAAAACCTTGTTCCTAGGGTACTTCGGTTATCGAACACCTTAAGAGCGATGATCATATTTTTTAATAAATGCGAGCCATAAAACCATCGCATCGCTCCGACTGCCTCTTTTTTACGGCGGCGACAATATCTATGAATTATACTTGGATCTTTTGAGTGGTCGTACCATTGAACTTTGAACTTTTGAGATAACGTATGAAGGGAATGGAGTTTGCTGGTAAGGTGGAGTGTCATTGTAGGTTGCTTCTTTGAGTATGTATTGTATGGAATACTAAAAAAGGATTAGTATTGGAATAAATGCTCGCTGTGCATAAAGCTAAGGGTACACTCATAATGTCATAAATGAAAGGATGATGACATTCTTCTTATGAGTCATAATGAAACTTTGGTCGAGGTGACTAGGTGCGAGTTTGATTTTCTACAAGTTAGAGAAAGCGTTTGACATTTGATGAATAATTCTCGTGGATCATGCTCATCTTTGGTGGCAGTGATAATGGTCTTTAGCTTGGTTGATGCTCACTCAATTCGAGATGGGAGATTGTGGATTTGTTTTGAGCTTGAACACTTGGCTGAGGAATAATTAAGTCTCGTTGAAACTAAACATCACATTGAGAGTGTGCAGGACCGCAACTGGGTTGTGGTTATTTTATCTCTACCATTCTTTATTAACCAACATTTTAATCTCAACTATTAGATTTTTTTATATTATTTTTTTAACATTTTTATCTCTTTCTATATCTTTTCTAAATCATGCGAGACATTTATTATTTTTAAATTATTACATCTCATTACGTTGTCATTTATGCATGTACTTGTCATGCAATGTTGAGCCTTTTGTCTTTATCCACTGTGAAATAGCTCCTCCTAAGTGGTAACTCTATATATTCTTGGGCCAATATTTATTGGGCCATTGTTATTAAAGAAAATAAATCCTCTTGATTATTGACTTAATTAAATATGTTCATCTAGCATATAAACGTTCTCGATGAAAAACAATGTTCAAAAATTATACCTTTCATAAGTTACACATGCATGCAATTTACTTTTTAATTAACATGCCCCCATTTCAATATTTCAGTAGACACCATCTTAATATCCCAATTAATAATAAAAAATAAACCTATTTTTAATAAATAATATATTTTAATTAAAAAAAATCTGACTAACCTCTGAACTATAACCGCAAAATACACAAGCAAAAAAAATTCAAATATCCCTCGTGGTACTGCAATTGGAATAAGCAAGTAATCACAATCACAAAAAGGAAAACTCTATGAAGAAGATAAGTGGGACCAGCAGTATCACAAATCATTCCCTGCCTCACAATATGTTGCCCTCATCAGTGCCTTAGAACACAATCCATGCAACCACCACTAGCAAGATAGTGCTGAAATCAGCAACCAAAAAATAAAACTTTGCATCAACCATGGTTGGAATGGCAGCAGCAACAGCATCCTCCCAATTGATTTTGTCAAAGCCTTGTTTCCCCTCACGTCTATGCCCCTTCCAACTATGTGTCTTTAACACAAAATCAGTGCTATCGAGTTCAAGTAGCAGGAGAAGGCATGTGGGTGCGTCTGGAGTCAGGTGCATGGCTGTGGGGGAAGCAACGACTGAAACGAAGAAAAGAAGTGGATACGAGCTTCAAACCCTGACTAGCTGGTTGCTGAAGCAAGAGCAAGCTGGTGTGATTGATGCAGAACTCACTATCGTGTTGTCTAGCATTTCCATGGCATGCAAACAGATTGCTTCTTTGGTGCAAAGAGCTAACATTTCCAACCTCACTGGCGTTCAAGGAGCTGTAAATGTTCAAGGGGAAGACCAGAAAAAGCTTGATGTTGTTTCAAATGAGGTGAGTGTTGCAATTACAGTATTCCTTGGTTTTTCTTTCTAGAATTTTGTATCCCAGTTGGTTCAATTCAGTGATTTTTTATTTTACCCAAGTTAAAATTGTAAAAGCATATAGATGTAAATCCTAAAGGACTAGACTACAAGGGATTGTTTGTCAATATTTATAACCAAATTTATGGGCGCCCTCGAATGTGAAGGCTTTATTTAGGTAGCTATGGTTGGTTAACAACCAGGTTTTTTTTTTTTTTTGCGCTTATCAGGTTTTCTCAAACTGCTTGAGGTCAAGTGGCAGGACCGGAATAATAGCGTCAGAGGAAGAGGATGTGCCAGTGGCAGTAGAAGAGAGTTATTCTGGCAACTACATTGTAGTGTTTGACCCACTTGATGGGTCATCCAATATTGATGCTGCAGTGTCAACTGGGTCCATTTTTGGAATATACAGCCCCAATGACGAGTGTCTTGCTGACATTGGTGATGACCCCACGGTAAGTATTCCATGGTTGATTTCATTAGTTAATCAAAGGGTTGACAACGGCCCAAATAAAATGCACAGCATAGAAATTGTAGGTGGTATGGATAATTAGGTTGGGCTCAATCAGAACTGAAAAAATTGCTATTTTTTTCGAGTGATTCAATATATTGTTATAAAATTGTGCTTGACAAGGCTTAAGAAAAAAGGTGGCTGTGAATCAAGCGGAAAACATGTTACTTAGATAAAATATTTTGTCTATTCTCATGTTTTTATATTTGATCTCCTGTATTTTATGATTACATTATTTAAAATCAATTTTTATATTTAAAATATTATCTTTTTTAGCTTTAATCTATTGTGATTTTATCTTTAAAAAATATAGATTAATATATATATATATATATATATATATATATATATATATATATATATAATCTATCTTGACCTTAACACTTGAGTAATATGGAACTCATAATTACACAGAAACAAAAAGTTATCTCATAATTATACAGAAACAAAGAGTAATTTAGATAACGTAATCAAAAGTTACTGAAAAAAGCTATAAAAGCTTGGCTAAATAGTAAGATCAAACATGTTACCAGACAGATTTTGGATTCAGTTCTTACAGTGATTCTAATTGAGACTTGGAATATATACAAAATCGGATTGTTAGTGAAATTCAGAACTTGATGTTATCCATATTGCTAATTTGCAGCTTGGCACAACAGAACAAAGGTGTGTCGTGAACGTGTGCCAACCCGGAAGCAACCTTCTTGCAGCTGGTTACTGCATGTATTCTAGCTCAATCATCTTTGTTCTCACACTTGGAAAAGGAGTGTTTGTGTTTACACTGGACCCTATGTATGGCGAATTCGTTTTGACTCAGGAAAACCTCCAGATACCAAGAGCCGGCAAGATTTATGCTTTCAATGAAGGGAATTATCAGTTGTGGGATGACAACTTAAAGAAATATATTGATGATCTCAAGGACCCAGGTCCTACTGGGAAGCCTTATTCTGCAAGGTACATTGGTAGCTTGGTAGGAGACTTCCACAGAACACTACTATATGGTGGCATTTATGGATACCCCAGAGACAAGAAAAGCAAAAATGGGAAGCTCAGACTCCTATATGAATGTGCTCCTATGAGCTTCATTGTAGAACAGGCTGGTGGAAAAGGTTCAGATGGCCATCAGAGAATACTGGACATTCAACCAGTGGAGGTAAGTACAAATGGGCAACCGCTTTAGACGTAAATGACCAGTGTTGTTTTGCATAGTCTTATTCTTTTTCTTCTTTGGACAGATTCATCAACGCGTGCCACTATACATTGGGAGCGTAGAAGAGGTAGAGAAGGTGGAAAAGTACTTGGCTTAAAGGATATGTTATAATGCAAAAAAGTAGACTTTGTGTATCATGATTTCCCAAATCAAAACTTTTAAAGCAATACAATCATGTAATTTTAAGGAAAGATTCCTTTGATCCCCTTTCCCCCTCCTTTGATGCAAAGAAAAAGTACTGCCAACAATCTTTAGAACGAAAACTTTGTATACTTTTTACATGTTTCAAATTGGATATAATTTTGTATACGTAAATGTTTCAACCTGATAAATTGTGTATCTCAGTAAAGAACTGTTACCTAAGGCTTTCAATGAGAACTTCAGAGGACATGGGTATATTTAACACCACCAAATCACTTAATTTTGAGTTAAAAACATTTTACTTGAATATAGATGAGTTTCTCAGTTATTAGAGTGGATGAAACTTAACATAAATGACCAATGTATTACCACACCTAAATCAAAACAAGCACTGAATGATCAGGTTAGAAGAAAAATTATTTAAATAATTTTGGACTAAACACAACCAGTAATTAAATTTTATCAATTTCTGTTTTTTTTTCCGCAACAGTTAACAGGCAAGCACAAAACTGTCCACCCAGCATAATTAATTTAAAAATCCTGATAAATTAAAATCCCAGCATAATTAGTCTCCCCCTTCACTCTTTAACTTGAAAGTTTAACTGTCAGGACATAGAAGGTTGATAACCATAATTGACATATAAATATAACCCCACTAAGATTAACCCTTATAATATAATAAACCAAAACAAGGGAGGAAGCTATCTACAATCAATTTTTTAAGCTTGACCTAGTAGGCTAAACTTGTAAGATATAAATGAATAGTGGGTTATCACAAATTGAGTGCATCATTGGAGAGCAATTCTTTGGAACATTAGATTTAAACATCTTCTGCAGTGAGCTCGCGTTAACAAGTCAGGCTAAGTCATTCTTCAAAGGATCACTTTTTATGTACAATTCTCCTGATCCACAGACAGCTGACAATTTTTCTCTGTGGACATATTATAAAACAAGTTAATACTTATTGGTAAAGAAAATTTATAAGAATGAAAACTGACAAAATGTTTAACAAAGATTGAAAAACTTTACCAGGGCTTATAACTGTTATGCTTTTTGTGACAGATTTCATTGCAGTCAAACCATCAGGGCCTGCAAAATGAAAGCTTCTCAGTAAATTATAATTTGGCTGATAAAACTAAGAGTTTGTTTTGTTTACCTAGTATTTTCATGTCTTTCTCACATAGTACTTCAGCCACAGTTGATAATTCAGGTGTAGCATGATTATCATCGCATTCATGAGATGACCTGTTAAACAACCAACATCAGATAAAAGTGTTGGGATTGATGACAAAACAGGACTTCTGGCAGCAAACAAAATACCCTGAAGCGTTATCCATTGAAGGACTTGATGTTGGATGACAAGAAAAATCTATGCCTTCACAAGAAAAATCTAAATCATTTAATATTTCTGTAAAGGAGAAGTCCATCCCTAAGGCATCGAAGTTAGGAAAATCAATATCAAATAAGTCCAATTCCTTTTCAGACTTGGATGATGAAATTTCATTGGACAATGGATTGTCCAAGCTCCCAGGCACATCAGCAGCATCAAAGTTCAACCTGCTTCTAACATGATCCCTCTTACTCGTCTTCTCTGAATTTATCTTCACAGGAGAAATACAACGACTCATCTCTATGTAAGCCATCTGTTTTGCAGGACTGACCATAACTCTCTTTGTTGAAATTACAGTGCAACAATTGGGTGTAACCGCTACTGAAGAAATCTCAACAGGGGATATATGTGTATCACTGTGAGAAGATTTTGTTCTAGGAGGTGTCTTTGGAACTGATGAATTACTTGGAACAGAAGTTGTAGACTGGTTGAATAAACATTTAACAACATTGGATCCCTGAACCTGTGACTCCCTGGGTATGCAGTTCTGTGACGAAGATTGAATGGCAGAAGGCTGAACTACCATTGTATTATTGACAGCATTATCAGATTGTTGCAGAGCAGTTGGACCTGAGAATAGAGATATAGCAAAATGCATATGATGATTTCTTCAGATTGCGCAATAATTATAACAGATGCAAAAGTTATGAGATAACCATACCTTGAACTACAATTTTCCTACTGGTTGATCTACCACGAGGTTTTTTAGCTGTCAAAGGAGCATCCACAGCATTAGTATCCTTTCTCTTTCTGTCAGATACAGTCAGTGTTAGTGTTGATGAGATGTTTCCGCTCCCAGTGTTTGAATTGCTAGATTGAGGCAATGATGGTGTATTCAATTTGCTTTGTGCAGAAGTAGGATTTCCTAATACAAAAGTCATTAGGTAACAAATGTCAACAAGTCACTAACATAGCCTTAAAGGGAATTCATGGGACGGTAGAAAATGGAGAATGATGTTTAACCATGCAAGTGTAAACTAACTTTCATTCCAAAGTTTCAACAACAACATCTGACTTTTCACCTACTCAGCCGAACACATTTCAAAAGACAAACTTCAAATTGCAACATGTTGCGTTGCTTAAAGATTTTAATCAATTACACTCAGCTCCTGAACTTGAAAGCAGTTGATAACTGTTATTCAACAACATATTATAGAGTATGTTCATTCCTAGCTTAAACATGTTTAGGATAGCAGCAAAAATATCTAATCTAAATAGACATGCTTGATTTACTCAGCATAATGCAACACAGCCAAGTCAACCAGAGCCCTTCATCACTTTTAAATATCTATAATTCTTCATCATTCTTCAGAACCAAAATCTGGGTTAGAAACCTAAACTGAATATCATACAAGTACAATAAGTTGTCTTTATTCACTAATATTTAAAACATAATTTTTGTTTTGATTAATCAATCAAGTATGAAACTCCTCCATTAGGGAACTTGTAAATTTTTTCAAGAAGAATAGTTATCAACCAACATGCTCGTATGTTAAGAAAATACCACACTAAAGTAGGGGCAGAGGTTGTACCTGGTTGATGTTTGAGAGTAAATGTAGGTTGAGGAATAGTTACAACTGCAGACTTTGCAGCAGGTGCTGGAGCAGGGAGGTTTCCACTAGCATTGTAAGCAGTCATTACATTCTGCATCCCTTGCAACAACATCTGAACCCTGTTCTTCTCTTGTTCCACAACAACCCGCTCCTGATCCAACATCACTTTCTGCTCCTTCAGGCAGATATACTCGTCCAGCATCTCCCCCAAAGTCAACAAAGACTTCGGCGCCTAAAAAACCCCAAATTTTTGGTCAAAACCCAAAACCTAAAAATCCACATGAACAAATGTATGGCTAAACAGAAAAATAAAATGAAAAAACCAATATAAAAAATGACCACCTAATGCTTAATCTCCATGAGAAGAGAGAAAATCAAAAGGGCTGAAAAAAAATTGAAATCAAAGGTCTCTGAAATAAAAATAAACAACTTTAAGAAAAAAAAAAAAAAAAAACTAAGACTTCGATGGTAAAATCTGCATAAATGCGAATAAAAACAAAATAGATGCAATAAGAGGCTAAAACATGCAGTTAAAGCAAAATGGAGTGCAACGATACCTCGTGAATGGGTGAATTGGCGATGAGGGAGGAAGCTTCGTTTCTGAAGGTGGTGCGTGTGGAAGAGAAATTGTTGTCGCAGAGGTATCTGTCAACTATGAAAGCAATTTGATTAGGGGTGACCTTACCTTTCCCAAACACCTCTGGCTTTCTGACTTTGGATTGCTTCCCCGCCATCTGTTGTTACTCTCAGATCAGATCAGATGAAACTAAAGAGTGATGAGAGAGATGAATTGGTTGTGTTAAAAAGGGTGTGGAAGAGGACGCGGGAGAATTTTTGAACTAGGGCACCAAACTTGCAGTTTTGGCGGTAATAAGCAAAAGACTCTCACACTTAAAATCTTGGATTCACCTAGGTTAAAAACTAGGAATATTCATCTTTTATAATTTAAATTTAGTTTAATAAAAAAAATATTATTATATTTTATTAAATATAATAATAAATCATAGTCATTGTTTTTTCTTACCAGGTCATAATTTAAGTTTACAGGAGATGAAATTTCTAAAATTTGTAATGAGAAAGGGATAAAATATTTCACAAGAGAAAAACTAAGATGGAATAAAATCGTTTGACTTCTTTATTTTGAAGGTTGAAGAAAGATATTTTGAATAGTCAAACTTCAACTATAAATATAAGCAATATTTTATTATTAATAAAATTAATTTATTTACTGAATTTTAAATATTGTAAATGCTTATTTGATATTAATAAATAAAATTATTTTTAAAAAATTAAAACAAAAACGACTGACTAACGTATATTTTATAATGAGAAAAGGAAATTAAAAAGCAAAAAATCAATCCAAATTAAATATAAATTGTTGCTATTATAGAAAATAAAATAAATATATAATAAAATTATAACATAAAAAAACAACTTATAAAATCAATATTGTAAAGAATGTTATGTACATATATTTATATGGTTTCGTTACTTCGTACTTCTTATGAATATGTATAGATGATAGAGGTTATGTTGTAATTGAGTATAAACAGTTTTGTGACAAGTGTTTTAATATTTATTTAATATTAATATTTTAAAAATTAATTTTATTTATTTAGTATAGGATAGTTTAATATATCTAAATTTTATATTTCTAATAAATAGTATACAAATTTATATAATGTCCTATTAATACAAATACAATAAAATTCAAAATGAATTTTAAAATTTATGAAAAAAAATGTATATGTGAAGATAGACAACACATTTTCAAATAATAATATACAAGATTGACCAATCCATACATATGTTTGGATATTAAATTTGCTAATAAAAAAATTAATTATACTTTTTAATCTTTGAATTTTAAAATAATTATAATGTTGATTCTATAAATTTTTTAAAAATACTGATATCAAAATTAAAATAAAATATAATTTTATTTTCTAAACATTAAATTTAAATGATTAAAAATAATTTTAAACTCTTATATCTTAAAAACATAATTAATCG